GCAGCTCCTGGATGGTGCTGGTGAGGATGGAGTACGTGATCCTCGCGTTCTGGCCCATGTCCGGGTCTGAGGCGGAGACTCTGAACACAGAGGTGCCCGAAGGGTTGTTCTCCGGCACATAGATGCTGTAGGAAGGTCTCTCAAAGGCCGGGGCATTGTCATTGACATCGGACACCTGCAGCAAGATGCTCTTGTATGTGGAGAGAGGGGGAGACCCTGTGTCCGAGGCTGTGACTGTAATATTATATTCTGGAGTCCGTTCTCTGTCCAGGGGACCGTCTGACAGCAACTTATAGTAATTGTTAGACATGCGAATAATTTTGAAGGGTAAATCTTGTCGTAAACTGCAAGCAACCTTTCCACTGTCACCAGCATCTTTATCATTTACATTAATAAGGGCAATTAAGGTCCCAGGCAGGGAATCTTCTGGAACTGGACTGAACAAGGAAGTAAGAATCACCTCTGGGTAGTTATCGTTCTCATCAAGAATCTTTATTTCAACCTTGACATGTGTCACCAATCCACCCCCATCTTTTGCTGCGACTGTCATAGCATATGCTTTTGTTTCCTCATAATCCAAGTCTCCCATCAGAGTAATTGTGCCACTGATTGGATCAATCCTGAAATTTTGTTGGGCATTTGCTGGGATGTTGCTGAAGTGATACCTGATTTGGGCATATGACCCATCATCATTATCAGTGGCCACAAGCTGGAGCACCTGCGACCCAACAGGAGCATTTTCCCTGAGATTGACTGTGTAAACCTCTTGGCTGAAGATGGGTGGGTTGTCGTTGGCATCAGTGACATTGATCCAGATCTGGGCAGTCCCAGTTTTCCGTGGTTCCCCCCCATCCAAAGCTGTAAGAATCAAATGAAGGGTCTGCTCACTTTCTCGATCGAGGGGTTTCTGCAGCACCAAGTCTGCAAATGTATTTGCATCCTGGCTCTTTTTAACATCCAGAGTGAAGTACTGATTGGGGCTGAGCTGGTAGTCCTGGACAGAATTCATCCCAATATCCGGATCGTCTGCTTTCCCAAGCAGAAATCGAGTGCCTGGTGAAGTAACTTCGCTTGTCTCCAGGTTGATGTTGCCATTGAAGAACTGGGGTGCATTGTCATTGATGTCCTCAATCGCTACAGTTACATGGAAGATATCCAGGGGGTTTTCAACCATCACTTCTAACGTAACTAGGCAGTGTGGTGCCGTGGCACAGATTTCCTCCCTGTCGATCCTCTCGTTCACGCAGAGGTTCCCATTTTCGCCACTGATGCTAAAATACTGCAGTTTTGTCACGGGGACAGCATGCAGATTGCGCTTTGCCAGCTCCCTGGCATTCAGCCCCAGGTCCTTGGCCAGGCTGCCCACCACGGAGCCCTTTTCCATTTCCTCCGGGATGGAATAGCGGACCTGCTCCGAGGCAGCCCAGCAGGAGAGCGGCAGCAGCGAGAGAAGCAGTACTTGCCTGGCCAGCGCCCGGCCGTCCTCTCCTTCCCATCTGTCCATCCGGCTCTG